CTGAATAAAGCTGAACATGGCTGCCTCTAGCCAGAGAAGTCACTATAGAGCTACAAGAGGTGCATCCTCTCCAAAGGGAAACTACTTCTTTTATGAGCAAGCCAGCCAATTGACATCTAGAAAAGGAATGGCCAAGTTTGAATTGGAACTCTGATCCTCTACAAGGTAGCTTGATGTTATAATTACCATAATAAATGGTGTTATTGAGCTAAGTTTGACTCAAGAATTTGACCGTCCCTCGCAAATACAGCTTAACTTCTTCATAGAAAAATAGGAAGAGGTGCTAATCTGGCTCCTGTTCTAGAACTTTGACTTCCATTACTAAAACATTTTCATGATCCAGGGGCCTCAAACCCAGATCTACAGGGTTTACAGGAGAAGCCACACTTCAACCTTCCACTTGGCAGCCTGCTGACAACTGCTGACCCAGGACGCCCAGCCCCAGTTTGAGGCTCTACCCTTGACATGCCAGGGTAGCCAACCTACTTAAACCAGCAACAGGAAGCTGTCCAAATGATTGGGATCCATCATGCTCTATACTGTGTACTTTGTGCCTCCTGGCTCCCCTGACTTGACTTCCCGGTGCCCTGACCTGGCTTGGCTCATGGCATCTGACTTGTGGTTCTGATCTCCAGTTAGTATCATGCCTCCGATCTCCCAGTATCTTGACCCAGCTGACCCTTGGCTCCTGACCGTGAACCCCAGCTCTGACTACAAGTTCCGGCTCCCATGACCCAGCCCTGACAAACATTAAATAGTCTCATTTGGCAGGTGTTATTCACTCCAGCAGTAGTTATTTGAGTAACAAGTGCTGAACAGGACCCTTATTTAAAATGTCTTAAAACAAACATTCTCCACTACAAAAACTGATGCTTACTGTATGGCCTGTTTCTCTGTGGGGGTGACAGCCAACAAAACGGCATTCATCCTTGGTAGCACATTTTTTGGTCACAGATGTACTCCTTCCATGGCTTGTGAAATGATGAACTGTCAAGCAGTACTTTGTATCTAAGAAATAAATCAAAATTAGGTTTATTTTCATGCAGCGTGTTCTCTTTCACATACTTCAAAAGTTTTCACTAAATGACAAGTTACAATAAAGTGCTTGCACTGAGAAAAGTTAGATTGTGTGGGGTTTAGAGCAGTAAGATGGCATTATGTTCCAAAAAATTTGTCATTTAACAGTCATGATGTATTAGCTAGACCTTAAATTAAATGGGCCATTTGGCACCTAGACTGCAACTTATGAAGAAGAAGGCCATTGAGATTCGTACTGTGTATCTAACACTTCATCTCTAGCTAGCTAGTTTTAGCAGCAGCTCTCCTGGTTCTTCCTTTCCCTCTTGCACTCCCTTCTCATTCTCTTTCCCCTCCATTTAGACTTCTTTACCTTTTTCATTTCACTCTTCCACCCCACCTCGCCCCTACTCCCCTTCTTCCAACATTTTTCCTTCTTTCCCCTCTCTTTGGGGTACGTTACCTTCCTTAGTTTCAGTGACCCTGCTATTCTCTCTTCCAAGTGTGATCTTCAGGTCTTATTGCCAAATGTTTCTGCACTACCAATGGATGCACTAACATGACACTTTCCATTTTGAGAGTTCACATACAACACATCTGAAACCACATGCAACAATGATGTATGCCTACAGCTTAGCATAAACCTTGCATTAGACCTTTTATATAGCTGTCTTTTATAAAGTCAATCTTAAATAACAAATCTGCACTAATTATTAGAAGTAATTGTTTCAGCTCCTATGTTAACTTTTCAAAAGACACTAGGACTGATGGTAGATTTGGTAGCACATTTAGCTTTGACTGCGGGACTGAATTAAGAAATAGTCTTTACCCCTGAACAGCTGACTCTTGGAGACAGTACTAAGGTAATAACTGGCTTTGGAGAGGGGAATTTGACAGTGCAAACTGTTTTCCCACCATGTATCAGTGTTGGATAAGTTAATCACTAAGTTCAGAGGAAATGCAAACAAGACCAACATTACATTAGAAGTATAAAGACAACCTAATAAAACTATTTGTTTCTTCACAAGCACCGGGAAAACAGGAAAAAGGGATTGGAAAACAGGAATCCAAAGTGTGTTGATAGAGATTTATGATACATATTAGAATAATCTGGCATAAAACTACAAAGAGGGAGGATAACATAAGAATGGCCAAACTGGGTCAAGACCAGTAGTCCATCTAGCCCAGTATCTTGTCTTCTGATAGTGGCCAGTGCCAGATACTTCAGAGGGAATGAACAGAACAGACAATTTTCGAGTGATCCATCCCATCACCAGCCACAGCTTCTGGCAGTCAGACGTTTAGGGATACCCAGAGCATGTGGTTATGGCCCTGATCATTTTGGCCAGGGCCGGCTCCAGGCACCAGCCGACCAAGCACATGCTTGGGGCGGCACCTTGGGGCAGGGCGGCGCTCGATTTTTTATTTTAATTTTTTGGATTCAGTGGCGCAGCGCTCGGAGCGGGGGCGGGGGGCTTCAGGTGGCGCGGTGCTCG